ACAGCGTCCAGGTAGGCTAATGAGATCCCTTGACCGAACTGAATCAGAGAGACGTCCTGAAATAGTGTAGAAATGGAATTTAACAAACACCCAGCCAGCAAACAATGAATCCAAGAACTCCAAATGCGCATATTCATACTAAACACAGACGTTAAATGGAAAGTAAAAAAAAATAGAACAAAAAGATGACAAACAAAGCAATCGCGGTCAAGGATATAAATCAAAGCTAATGTGATTTCAAAATCAAACAACTGGCACGCGCAATGAATACAAATATAAACATAAAAAGACGTGAAAATGAGAAGTACACAATACAAAAAAAAATTTGAAATTTCAAAATACACTTGAAAAATTTCAAATATTGATTGATCATGAACAATTGGAAGAAGATGATAAACTCACTCACCTGTACATCTTGTTCACCTAATATTGCACTGCCAATATCCGATGAGCGAAATTCTTTGGATACACTCCTCACTGAGCTTCCCACTGGTCGGCCAGCAATCGAGTCTCTCAATTCACCACTCTGGAGATTTTGTAGAATAGAATTGCGAAAATAAGTATGTGGACTGTGAAAGATTTTAGAAAACCGGGTGGCAGCTCATCATCACTAGTCTCACGATAGAAGGCTTGCAGCGAAACCTGAAGTACCGAAGGGATACCAGGGAAACGGATGAAGCCTGATTCAGTCAGTCTCTTAGTTACAACCTACAACTTCCTACGTGCCTACGTACCAACATAAGTTCGGTTACCGCTAATACTTCTACTATCTCAATTAGTGTGAAATTTCAACTGAGGTTCGAAGAGATTATGCAAGAAGTATAATTCGCTGTGATAAATTGACAAACACAAAGACAGAGGTGATCACGAATTCAGATCTGCACAATTTCAGAGAACACAAAGAGTGCATGCACCTGCACTATTGCAAACGATTTCGAGCCATGTCATAAGTCATGGTTCTCTCTAACCGTCGGTCACTGTGGTCTCGCCGACACCAAACACGTAGTCTACACGTACCAACATGACTCAGTCCACTTGTCGTCAGTGACTGCATGGGTTTGTGCCATGTTTTGGTTTGGCCGCACCCACCTTTCCCACAACCTACTGCTACACCACAAAATATTGCTGGTCGAGGCAGTCGGTGGTTGGGCATTCGTAACACATGACAAGTTGCGATTTGTTAGAACACGCATAGTGCAAGTATTGCGCTTTTATTGGTTGAACACCTGATAGTTAGTTGTTTTGAAATGTTCACTGGATCGATATATTTGACGACTGCGAATTTCACAATGACAACAGGTCTCTAGAAAGCTCACAATTTACCAACAACCATTGCAAATATTGATTGATCATGAACAATTGGAAGAAGATGATAAACTCACTCACCTGTACATCTTGTTCACCTAATATTGCACTGCCAATATCCGATGAGCGAAATTCTTTGGATACACTCCTCACTGAGCTTCCCACTGGTCGGCCAGCAATCGAGTCTCTCAATTCACCACTCTGGAGATTTTGTAGAATAGAATTGCGAAAATAAGTATGTGGACTGTGAAAGATTTTAGAAAACCGGGTGGCAGCTCATCATCACTAGTCTCACGATAGAAGGCTTGCAGCGAAACCTGAAGTACCGAAGGGATACCAGGGAAACGGATGAAGCCTGATTCAGTCAGTCTCTTAGTTACAACCTACAACTTCCTACGTGCCTACGTACCAACATAAGTTCGGTTAACGCTAATACTTCTACTATCTCAATTAGTGTGAAATTTCAACTGAGGTTCGAAGAGATTATGCAAGAAGTATAATTCGCTGTGATAAATTGACAAACACAAAGACAGAGGTGATCACGAATTCAGATCTGCACAATTTCAGAGAACACAAAGAGTGCATGCACCTGCACTATTGCAAACGATTTCGAGCCATGTCATAAGTCATGGTTCTCTCTAACCGTCGGTCACTGTGGTCTCGCCGACACCAAACACGTAGTCTACACGTACCAACATGACTCAGTCCACTTGTCGTCAGTGACTGCATGGGATTTGTGCCATGTTTTGGTTTGGCCGCACCCACCTTTCCCACAACCTACTGCTACACCACAAAATATTGCTGGTCGAGGCAGTCGGTGGTTGGGCATTCGTAACACATGACAAGTTGCGATTTGTTAGAACACGCATAGTGCAAGTATTGCGCTTTTATTGGTTGAACACCTGATAGTTAGTTGTTTTGAAATGTTCACTGGATCGATATATTTGACGACTGCGAATTTCACAATGACAACAGGTCTCTAGAAAGCTCACAATTTACCAACAACCATTGCAAATATTGATTGATCATGAACAATTGGAAGAAGATGATAAACTCACTCACCTGTACATCTTGTTCACCTAATATTGCACTGCCAATATCCGATGAGCGAAATTCTTTGGATACACTCCTCACTGAGCTTCCCACTGGTCGGCCAGCAATCGAGTCTCTCAATTCACCACTCTGGAGATTTTGTAGAATAGAATTGCGAAAATAAGTATGTGGACTGTGAAAGATTTTAGAAAACCGGGTGGCAGCTCATCATCACTAGTCTCACGATAGAAGGCTTGCAGCGAAACCTGAAGTACCGAAGGGATACCAGGGAAACGGATGAAGCCTGATTCAGTCAGTCTCTTAGTTACAACCTACAACTTCCTACGTGCCTACGTACCAACATAAGTTCGGTTACCGCTAATACTTCTACTATCTCAATTAGTGTGAAATTTCAACTGAGGTTCGAAGAGATTATGCAAGAAGTATAATTCGCTGTGATAAATTGACAAACACAAAGACAGAGGTGATCACGAATTCAGATCTGCACAATTTCAGAGAACACAAAGAGTGCATGCACCTGCACTATTGCAAACGATTTCGAGCCATGTCATAAGTCATGGTTCTCTCTAACCGTCGGTCACTGTGGTCTCGCCGACACCAAACACGTAGTCTACACGTACCAACATGACTCAGTCCACTTGTCGTCAGTGACTGCATGGATTTGTGCCATGTTTTGGTTTGGCCGCACCCACCTTTCCCACAACCTACTGCTACACCACAAAATATTGCTGGTCGAGGCAGTCGGTGGTTGGGCATTCGTAACACATGACAAGTTGCGATTTGTTAGAACACGCATAGTGCAAGTATTGCGCTTTTATTGGTTGAACACCTGATAGTTAGTTGTTTTGAAATGTTCACTGGATCGATATATTTGACGACTGCGAATTTCACAATGACAACAGGTCTCTAGAAAGCTCACAATTTACCAACAACCATTGCAAATATTGATTGATCATGAACAATTGGAAGAAGATGATAAACTCACTCACCTGTACATCTTGTTCACCTAATATTGCACTGCCAATATCCGATGAGCGAAATTCTTTGGATACACTCCTCACTGAGCTTCCCACTGGTCGGCCAGCAATCGAGTCTCTCAATTCACCACTCTGGAGATTTTGTAGAATAGAATTGCGAAAATAAGTATGTGGACTGTGAAAGATTTTAGAAAACCGGGTGGCAGCTCATCATCACTAGTCTCACGATAGAAGGCTTGCAGCGAAACCTGAAGTACCGAAGGGATACCAGGGAAACGGATGAAGCCTGATTCAGTCAGTCTCTTAGTTACAACCTACAACTTCCTACGTGCCTACGTACCAACATAAGTTCGGTTACCGCTAATACTTCTACTATCTCAATTAGTGTGAAATTTCAACTGAGGTTCGAAGAGATTATGCAAGAAGTATAATTCGCTGTGATAAATTGACAAACACAAAGACAGAGGTGATCACGAATTCAGATCTGCACAATTTCAGAGAACACAAAGAGTGCATGCACCTGCACTATTGCAAACGATTTCGAGCCATGTCATAAGTCATGGTTCTCTCTAACCGTCGGTCACTGTGGTCTCGCCGACACCAAACACGTAGTCTACACGTACCAACATGACTCAGTCCACTTGTCGTCAGTGACTGCATGGATTTGTGCCATGTTTTGGTTTGGCCGCACCCACCTTTCCCACAACCTACTGCTACACCACAAAATATTGCTGGTCGAGGCAGTCGGTGGTTGGGCATTTATAACACACATCAGCCGAGTTTTCTTTGGCGGCATGGCCCGTAACTGGTCGATTTAGTAGATATTATTGTGTTCATTTTTACTTCGGTTCACCTTCATTGACGTGTTCTGTTGACCGCCGATCAAGTTTTTAATGATCATTTCTAAATAAGTCAGTAGATTGTGTTCACCCGTATATGTCTATTGATTGCTGATAGACCCATATACTACTATATTTTTAGATATCTTCTGATATTCCCAGTATCTCTTTGACCTAGGCATTCTACGGTTTCTTAGTTGAATTTACAGTTCACAACAACCTATTTTGTAGGTGCCACTTTACTATTTCGTCTTCTAGTCTGTCAAAAATGAAGTGAATCATTTGCGTTGATGTATGCGCGACATTGTACTCAAATGGTTTCACATATTCTGGAGACTATTCATCTGTTGTTTTCAGAGGTTCTTTTTATAACGATTGATCAATTAATTCACTAGACATAATGAAAGCTTGGCAATTCAATCTCATCTAGCTCAGAAGAACAACCAACAATGTCAAAAAACAGTTGTCATTCTTACAATTTATAGCACCTCATGTTCATCAGAGTTCGTCCAAGTGTTTAATTTTGAATAAACCGTTTTATGAACTTATTTGACAGAGCATCATTCATTTGTACAGCAAAAGCTTACCCATACCATTGTAATTTTATTGTGGTTGTGCTCATATGAGTATGTGAATGCTTGAAAGCATTGCTTACCTCCTGCAGCCATATTCATTCTGCAACATTCAATGTTAAATCCCTTAAATAATTCAACAATTCATTCATTTTCCTAATCTATGTATGTATGTATATATGTACATGTATGCATGCATAACTCAATTCTGATCACTCCTCTTACTTACAATATCTGTCAATTAGTTTGCTTACCTTTTTAAAGACTACTGTTACTGGTTTGAAATCTTCATCATCTATCTCTATTGGAGTGGATTTTGAATTTCTTCTTGGTAATTTTAAATATTCACTTGTTATCCAATCTTCTGGTTCATCATATTGAATGTTAGAATACTTTAAATGAATCAATAAGTAAATATTTAAGAAAGTATAATTATTCAATGAGGAGTTTTATGAATCAGAAAAAGAAATTGGCGGACACATATCTATCTAATACTATAATTAAGTACTTTATATAATCTGTGTAATGAGATTTTAACAAACTTAGTTGCCATTGGAAATTGTGACAAAAGCAGAGGTTGTTCATTGAATATGTACACCCAGTCTGTATTGAACCATTTCTGCATGTTGTGCATTGTTTAATCCAAGCTAGTTATAGACTCTCTTCTCTCGCTCATCTTCTGGTCTCTCAACTTTGATCTTCGGTTGTTCATTGCAGCAATTTTGCTGGCGAAACTCTGCTAAATACTGCGTGTGAGCAGCATCGTGTGGCTTATGATTGTTTAATTGACTCTTATCTTCAATTACTACTAGTCTCTAAAACATTTACACATGTTGCACATATTACAGAGAATCATTTTACAAAATAACATTACTTCAATGTAAAGAACGTACTTTTTCTGAACGTTGTTTGTTAAAATTTGCTAAATTCTCTTGTGCTGAATCTAAATGTTCCTTGTTTCTATTTCCCTCAACAAACCATTGATGCTTTAATAAATGTGGTGTAGTTATTCTTTGCTTTGGATCAATCATTAAAAGACGTTTCACAGCATCTTTAGCACTCAAACTAATTGATTTCCATGAGGCAGATTTGAATTCAATATCACGGTGAAGTATAGCATAGTATAAATCACTGTCAGTTTTTGATTTGTAAGGATCGCTTCCACATAGCCTTGAAAATAAAAAGAAATTAAGATTAGGGCTTAAACTACTTATAAGTAGTAAACGTTAGATCGTCTAATTAAAGAGAAATCTCAGGTCTACAAATGCGTGCCATGATGAAACATTCAGATGTCTAAACGAGGAAAATTGAGAATTACACCGAATTTTCTGATTCAGGCACGTTTAGGAATGTAGTATTGTTCAAAAGACTACATTTCAACTAGTAAAAGCAGTATATGCAGCTATAATTGTGAGGGATGTAAAGGAGATCCTTGATTTTCTTGGGATTCTATAAATATTTTACAGATTAGTGCTGATTTCTGTAATTAATCGATACTTTTTCGAATATTAGATCCAAGGGTTTCAACGTCCTAACAGATTTGTACCGAATCACTGGTGTATTGTTTTTGCACTATTATTTATTTCATATTATATTTGATAAATTCCCTCAGATAACTAAACCAAGTAGAATCCATCGGTGATTAATCATATGGTAAGCCACATCGTCACCCAGTGACCCCCAGTAACGAAAAAGCCCCACCAACTGGCACTGGACAAACTAGTTCTCGCTAAGCGTGAGTTTGACAGTTTACTTTTTATATGTCCTTGGACCTCTTAACTCCACTCAGTTCGTAAAATAGGTGGTGTTAGTTGGAGACTGTGCGGCGATTACAGAGCAGTAATGGCAGATATTCACTGATTGCCCTCTGAACTTGTATATGGCACGACATTGCATCTGCCCATGGAATTATTCACACCATGGATCGGAGATTTTTTGTATATTAGCTAACGTTCAACGAATAACTGTGTTCATGCGAACACTGCCTACGATATCAACTGGAATACAGCGTCGACAGGTCGCTCCTGCCGAGATTTATTTACCTATTCATATGTTATCACACAAGTAGATCCTGTACGTAAACCACATTAAGAGCTTTAAGAAAAACCGTTTCATGTCACTTCCCGTCACGAAAAGACCTTCAATGTTGATCGACATAATCAGTATCGATCCTCTCAAACCAGCGCATGTCGATGACAGCGCCCTATCCGAAAAGTGGAGATTCAATGCTAGACCCGTCCAACCCACTAGTGGGATCCTCTTGTCTAATTTGAACCCCAAGCTAGAGACCTCATTCTCATGTACCAAGTCAACAGCACGCGTGATCTGCACTGTCTACAAATGAGACTTCGATCTCACGTCCAGATCAGCGGACCACGCTGCCCTTAAATTTGGATGAGATTGAAGTCTCAGGCTGATATTCCGGCTGCACACCTTCGCGACTTATAGAGAATAGGATTCCACCCCTTACTACACGGTCGCTGCACCTATTTCCTTTTTCCTAGATTTCTTTACCCTGAGCTTACTCCTTCGACCATCTCCCATCTTCATTGCTATGACTATTTACAGGTAAATCACGTGATTCCAGTCAAAATTCTGAATTACTTGAATTTCATTTCATTAAATCAGTAATCGAACTACGCTACATATCTGAAAGTAGACTGTCATTTTTGACAAATGAATTACCTGTGAAATAATTATCACACATCAATTGATTGCAAAAAAACATCATTTTCAACTACTTACATGATATACAATAGTATACCTAATGCCCACAGATCAATAGCTTTATCATATCGTCTACTTAATAATAATTCCGGTGCACAAAATATAGTTGTCAAACAGACCAATTCCAAATCCAAATCTCCAGTTGTAAATGATTGAGGAGAGTAATCGGCTGAAAATAACAAAAACAGAAACAGAAATCAAACAAAAATTGACACATAATGAGCCAATCAGAAGTGAGCAAAAATGAGAAGGTCATTCGAATGATCACCAAAGTACGGTTGCATATCATTGGTCAAGAGATGGCTTCCTTTTGTGTAATGAAGTGGGATGTATGTACACATTGATGTAGACGTGTATTTGTACATGTGATTCTGTAGCCTACTGGACTTTCACTTCTGCTCTTGCCTTCTCTTTCGAGTAGTCAATTCAGGAGGTTGGTAGGAATTGCGACACCCGCACATCAAAATATACAAACAAGTATTAGACTGATCAATAAAAGCTGATTAAAATACACTGAGTAGTGAATTGTCTAATCTTATTGTGTATGACTATAATCCATTTCAAATCTACTCATGTAAACAATTTTGTTGTTGCATACATTTTGAATGATTTAAGTGTAGTTTGTATGGCCCAGTAATAAAACATTTCAATTATAATATAAAAAAAACAGAATGAGTATTTCGATCTGGTTTGATATTTATCAGTAAATAAGTTTTTCAAATACTTCCAGAAATTTGGTTTGTGGATGAAATGATTAGTCTCAGACGGTTTACGGAATCTTCGAACGGATACCTTGATGGTGTCTATCTGGTTATCTTGCTGACCTCAAACAGGCAGTCATAGAAAAAATATTTGAGAATACTTTTCGAATCCACCTATGACCAAAACGCTTCAGCCAGATCATGTCGTCTACGTTTAAAAATTGATGACTCACATTCATAGTCGAAAACGGACCAAACTGTTACACATAGTGTACACTCTATTTGCTTCATGAACCGATAAGTTAGCCACACCACAAATGAATCAAGTTGGCAAACGCCAACTATGATTCCTGAATGTGTATCAAGATTTTGTCAGGCAATGACCCATTACAAGTGACTGAATTTCCAGGAAAGGTGAAGTGATAAACACACTCGACTTCTCCACTACATATCATTAGTTCAAACGTTGACTCAGAACTGTTGTGTAGCAATATTTTGCATTTGGAATGAGAGAAATCTAGCCTTAAGATGCTTATATTGTTAATCATTGGAAATCGGGAGTCTCTCGATTTTGTCAGCATCTTTACCAAAAATGACAACGTTATTTGAGTATACCAATTCAATTAATGAACTTCATAGGAGATCAGCCTGTGAAAAGTAAGTTATTAATTACTATATATTATAATATAACCGTTTAAATGCAGCACTCAGCTTCATTTAAACACTGATAGAACAACAGGTGTATGGGATCGATAGTGTTTTTTTCAGTCACATCGTCATCAGGTTCTACACTAAGATACATGAATATTTATATGAAAATTTTAAACCAAACAAGGCATTTAGAGTCAACGTAACTCTATTCAAGACGATTGAGTTTCACGAAACCAAATCAACGACGGCTTTCCTGAGGATAGTCTGAAGGATCTGCTCTCAAGGTGCACACTGCACAACGATTTTGTATCCGACAACACTTATCATAGACAAATAGATGGAATAAATATGAGCTCATTTCTAGGCCCAATTTTAGCTGATCTCTTCTTAGAAAAGCTATAAGATGGACCCCTTAATGAAGCTATCATGAAGCTTGATCAATATTGCCGCAACATTGACGACACATTCAGTGTACACCAGCAATCACTTTCACAGGTGAAGACGAGTGTGACAAGATGCTGAATTTTCTGGACGTCACACTAAGTAGGCTGAGTGAAGGCTCGTCAAGTAGAAGCGTGAAAAGATAAAGGCCCTTTTATTTGACAACATACTCACTCTTATAGTTTCACACCTATCCGTTACAAAAGAAGTTTGATTAGATGTCGCACAAGCAGAGCAAATACGATCTGTTCAGTGGATACTTGAGGTCAAGAGCTGGAATTTATCAAAAGCTTACTGACTGAAATCGGCCAACCTAGAGCGTTCTTAAAGAAGTAATTAGTGGTGAAGAGTAACTGAAATATCAGTTCTCATTTATATATATATATATATATATATATATATATATATATATATATATATATATATATATATACGTAAACATTGCACACTTACTAATTTTTACAATCGCATTGCTTTTTCTAGTACTGAGCAGTATGTTTTCAGGCTAAAATCAACAGAAAAAATTTGAATATTTTTCTTAAAAATGATACAAAATAATAATTCATACCTTACATGAATTTAAAATTTATCAATGCACTAGATTTGATGGATGATGATTACTTTTAGTAAATGAAATCAGATTGTTATTTGAAAAATAAAGCACTTCACATGTTCCTCCAACATATTTAAAATCTTTATATGCAATCCAAAAGCTACATGGTAATGTTTGTATTTTGCTGACAGTCTGGTACATATTCCGATTCCATGTTGTTGAATCTAGGAATTTATGAATTTGGTGCATTTGAGGTAGCCAAACAAAAACAATGCAACTGTTTGTTGAGCCTCCATTTGAAATTGGATATGGGTATTCAGCGGTTAAACAGTTTTGACGGTTAACTAAACAGTTTTTCGGTTTTTTAAAAGAAGGTTGGCATAGCGTTAAACCTTGAATGAAATAAGTTACTCTAGTGATCTATATTGTATAATTCACAAACACTTTGTTGAAAGAACCTGTATGATGCGTTTTTATGGATTGCTTTACACAGTTTATAGTCAAGAAAATCAGCAAAAAGTTTCCACAAACATAGAAATTACATCTTTGTCTGCCTTTTATCATAATGAGCAGCCACTCAGTTAATTATTAATTTGATTACCTTCACGTAAAACACTTTTATTTATACAATAAGCATTGTCCAACAACTGAGTGAGACACAAGCTAACCCCCTTCAAAAATGGCTAATTGTGACCATAACAAGGTTTATTTATGCACTTTATATTCACATTCTCCTTATTGTCATGGTTTCGGTCACATTTCAAATATTTATCGAAGCTTCACGAATTGAACTATGCTAAATATTTGTTAATAATTATATATTTTGTGGAACAGAATGAACTCATTTGATTCTGAAAATCTTGTGTTTATTTAAATTTATGAAGGTATCTGGTTGTATTGTATAATCTATTTGTATTGGATTTTATCATTCATTCGCTATAACATTGACTCTTCTGATCATAAAGTATACAAGTTGAATCTAGTGCTCTGTTTTCCTTCGCTAATCACCAATTCATTTTAAGTCTATCTGAACATATGACAACAATACTCTAGTTAGCTTAGGAAACAAGTATACATACTTTTAAATTTCTGTGAATAATTCCATATTCGTGTAAGTATCTAATACCATCAACCATTTGTTTGAAATAATGAGCAATCGTTTTTTCACTGTAAACAGGAAACTCAGTTAATCTAAATGAAGAGAATAAGGTGTGAGTTGAAAATTGATTAAAAGAAGTCAAGATTTTCAAAGTTGGAATAACATGAATTCGATTACTGAAATTTTTGAATGGACAGGATCCGTTATGAACACTGACGAAATTTCAATCTCTTTGTGATTAGTATGGCTGACCCGCGTTTTATGTTATTCGGAACAAATATAGTTAGGTGTAAATGCATGTCGGTGTTAATTTTTGCGCTTAATTTCAAGCTCTTTAGCTGTTAGCCGTCTCTTTACTCACTACCTTGTTGAGCCTAAATATCCAGTTGTTTCACAGGCATAAATTTATTTACAAAAGTTTGGGTTTTGTTGATGTTAATATTTTGGGCTGTAGTCGACCAACCTCTTTCGGTTTATGTGCATACTGAGAGAATCGTGTATCTAACTAAATAAATGCATTAGGATATATGTGCATTCAACTACTGGATCTCGAATACGACTAAATGTATAGCCTGACCTCCACTGCTGACCATAGTTCAAATATACTGCTAGGTTTTAGCAAAACTAAGCATCATAATAAAACAGTTACCCTGTTATGAGATGAAAATTGCCTGGTTGATTTACGTAACGTGTAATGCTGAGCATCACCAAATTAGCTGATGATATTAAAACACTGAAATTCTGACCTCTCTGCATTTTCGGACCACTGATTAAGAGATGATCTGTTTTAGCTGCGTAGAATACTAATAAATGGTCCTAACTAACAGGAGAGTCTAAATGTCAAGAGTAAACAGAATATAGGTTCTATATAGCTTCACTCATTGAGTAAAATCTCGAAATCTGCTAGATACTCACGGAAGCTAGTATACTACCAGAACGAACTGTCAGCCTTATATCCTCAGGACACAAATCTGAGATTTAAATTTTAATTCGGTTATTGCTATAAGACAGATGCTATGGACGAGTATTATCGGCCGGCTTTGTTTTGTTACCAAACGAATTAGAATCTGTCCATAGAAAGAAAGTTACTGTGGTGTACGAGAGAGCTTTAGACAGTGAACGTCGTCTTTAGTGATTGAGTGATATTATTACCTATAATATTTGCTAATAATACTTTTCTGTTCTTGGGTGAGGAGTATCGCAACATGCTCTACTGCTCTATAGATAACTTCAGCCTTTTAAAAGTTGCGATAGTGTATATTGGATTTTTGTAATTCTTTATCAGACAATACATTTGAGTTTTACCAATCAAGACTAGGAACCTTGTAGATAATTAAAACCTCAGTTGCTCATTCTTAGGTTCGGCAGTAGCCAAGATATCAGCTCCACAGATAAGAAGGTAAAAGATTCAGTAAAGCATCTTGGGAAACAAATTACCTCCGAAAGAGTTGCTCGCCAACTGCAAGTTCGACAACTATATGCAACGAAATAGATGTTTCAAAGATTTCTTTTATTTTCGCCTATAAGATTTAAAAAAATCTTTAAAGACGCCTACCACATTCCTATGGTCAAGATTTAACAAATGACCTATCGTTTTCATTCCTGAATAATCCAATATTTTGACACCAAACCTGTCAGCTTCTGTAGCATTTTTCTGCATCACTTTGACAGCATACGGTTTTCTTGTGCTTATTTCCGTGCATATTGCAACAAAGGTGCCACTGGGTCTGTGAAAATAATTATTATTTTAAGAATTAAGTAAAAAGCAGGTTAGCTAAGAATTCACAGCATACTTGGGTTGATTTTGTTTCCTTTAAAAATAAAATAATTAACTTGAATTAGTTTGTACCTTCCCAAGCTTTCAACTAGTTTATAATAGTCTTCAAACTTTTCTTTTTTATTGCTTTCAGCAATCATCTGATTCCCAGCTTCAACTGGGCGGTAGTTTTGTATCTTGGATATCAGTATTCAATATCCAATATATCCAATTTCTTTTACGCGAGCTTGCATAAATTAACTGATTTGTTTGTGCTCGATTCTTGTTCTTTCAGTACGGTTCCAGGTGTTTGGTATTGTCCGATAATTGAGGGTCTAGCCACTCATGTGTCTAATTCTAGTCAGTTAGCAGTTGTTTGTTAGTTTGTATGTCCCATGATTTTAATGAAAACGTTTTTTTCGGAGCAGTAGGGTTTCTGGATACCAGCAGCATCAAGCACAGCTGGTCCGAGAGTTAGATGTTAATCCGTATGTGAGTACATGTTTATCAAGCCCCTTCTTAAAGCTGTTCACTGAGTAGGCTATGGTCACATTGGCTTGGAGAGCATTACACATTGCACCGACTCCTACTGAGCAAAAGTGTGCACAAACCTGGGTGTTAGTTGTTGAAAATGATCCCATGTGTTGTAGTCTATCTTCGTACGGTTTGTTATTTGAACGTACCACTCATTTAGTTGCTTGTCTTTGCACTCGATCCAAGAGATTTATGTTTATTTTAAGGAGATGGGATGTGGTGATGTTGTGAACCTCTAGGTGTGGGCATGAAGATATTTTGGAGAGAGTGAAGAAAAGTTGTGAGAGATGGCAGATAGTTGTTTTGGCGTGAAGTGATGAGTTGCGTTAGCCTCAGGTGAGTCCTCTATATAGTTCCGATTGGCGACTAGTCATTCCCTGGTTTTTAAACCGAGATTGCTCCGTGAGGAAATATTTGGGAGTGGACTTTGATTGAAGATGTAATTCGATTGTGTCAACCTTGTTAGAATGCGCATAACGTGAAGTTTCTACATGCTTACTTTTTAACCACTTACACCTCACAGACGCAAGGTCCTTTAGAAGATCATTTGAAGCTCCTCGGCTTCTTATGAAACGCCAAACCATTACATCGTCTGCGTGGGTCAGTGGTGATGGAATAATTCTATCCAACGGGTCATTAATGAATATGAGGAAGGAGAGTGGACCCAAGAATATCCCCTGTGAAATTCCTGATTTTGAGACTCTCCAGCTCGAATACTCTCTACTGCCTTCGTGCAAAACTTTCTATTATTTAGGAAGTTTCTGAGACATGGCTGCCACCTTGACGTGGTGTTCGGGGTTGCCTATCGTGATGACCCTATGTTTCCTATGTTGACCTATGTTTCTGTAGGTCGTATCATGCCACGCAAGTCCATTGTAGAACGATGAGACTAAAACGGGCAACTCAATGTCTGAGTGTACGGGTATTTTTCGGTCCTAGCAGGATGTCCGACTGTCCCACGGTATGGGAAGATTGAATATGCAAGACCTGCCTTTCTTAAGCCCGTGTTGAACTTCAGGGAGGATTCGATTCTTGATTATGTAATCCCCTATTCGCTCATTCAACAGTCCTTCCAATAACTTCAACAGTATTGGTATTAATGCGAATGGCCTGTAACACGCTTCATCCTTCAAATCTCATCCATCAAGGATTACAGAGAGAGAGTAGCTTGTTTCTATCCAGCTGGGAGTTTGTGTGACTCCAGTGAATGCCCAAATAGGTCCCATATTTATGAACCTAGGGCTTCTGTACACTGTTTCAAGACTATAGGGTGAATATCGTCAAGTCTTGATAACTCTCCATGGCACAGGTATTTTAGCTTTCCTATTACTAAGTTAGATAAAAGTCGGGTATTTCCTAGGATATCAACTAGCACTTGGTTAGAGAAGTACTCTGAACTTGCTGGTAACTCATTTAACTGATCAGTGAAGTCGCAGTTTCCACGCGTATCAGGCTCCACTTTAAGCCTGTAGCAAGTGTTCAGTGCCTCGCCAAACCCAAGTTTTCCTCTCTCTTGGTGTGTGTTGTGCCTGAGGCACATTGAGTAAGACAGCATTGTGGTTCATGTCTCCCACGGTTTACCTGTGATCATTCACTGTCAGCCCCTATTGTATCAGTTGAGTGGCTTACCATGCAAGCTCACCTAATTGCCTGCAATATCGGGGGACATATATGTTTCAGTAACGATTATGATCCTCAGATCCAACTCAGAGCACATATTCCTGTGTTCTAACGGCTTACTCCTTGCTCCTCTTAAGTTGATAAGACAAATTGCCTCATTCACCGAAAAATCTCCGACATATCATCTGGAAAATCCTGAAAAATATTTCTGCAACTTACCAGGTATTACCTTGAGTTGAATTGAGACTAAGGCACTTTCACAGAAATTTAGATTTCATGTTTCATAAAATACACTGACGAAATTGATTCAGAAACCCAGTTGGTGAACTTGTTTGAGCAAATATAAGAACTTACAAAAATTGATGAACGGTGGATAAAATCTCATTTCGTTGATATTGTAGTGAAATGCGATTAGTGAAAATTAAACATTTGTTATTTTACTCGTTTGGTTTAACTGTACCAAAAACACTTCATGCGCGCAACGTTCTTTTCGCGTTTCTGCCATTTTTCAAAACTTGCTGCTCTCTATATAATGCCTACTTTCCCTTTTAAATCAACATTCGTCCATGGATCTTTTTCTATAGTTCTTGACTGGATGTTAATGAAAATTTAGTGGTGATCATAGTCAATCTCCAGTCAGTCATCACTAAAATATTTTCAGTCAATATATCTCAATTTCCACAGTCGAAAGTCTTATCTAAAGCGTACCAAAGCAGCCCTTCAAAATTTTGAGGCATAGCGAAAATATTACTATTCTCAAACCTGATAAATGTTTCAGAGTAGTTTCAATAGATAATGGAAGGTTTATTAACAAAGTACAGGTGATTCTGCTAGATTCCTAGTTGAATTCTCAAAAGAGGTCATGACTGTGACAACAACAACAGATGATAAATTCTCCATTTTATAAACTTACAAGTTCGTTATCAAATCATTCTGAACCTATTTTTCAGAGTTATCTGTTCATAATTTAAAAGACAATTCAATTTTCTCAAAAGCCAAACGATGTCATGGTAATCCTACTAGAAGAAACCACACAAATTATAGATTAATATGCTGAACTGATTCACTTACCGAAAGATGAGTTCAAGCAGTTTCTATTGTTGTGCACTAAACATGTTCATTTTCGAGTCGACAGTATTCTATACCGTCAAGTTGATGGAGTGAAAATGTACAGACCGATGGGCCCAATATTTAGAAGCTAACATGGAACAACCAGTTATGAAATCAACAGCCAATGACGTAACTTTGTATGTCAGGTATGTGGATGGTACACTTGTTGCATGTAATAATTCTCAACATGCTTCATGTATATTAGAACTTTTCAATACATATCACATTAACATAAAATTTGCGATGGAATTTGTATACGACTACGATTTTCCTCTTCTAGATTTGGATATTAAACGGAATTTGAGTGGCCATTTAGAAGGATATATTTATCGAAAGGAAACGTGAAGTAGGCTGTAGTTGAACTTGCACAGCTTCTGCCTAATAAGCAACAAAAAAGCTTTGGTTAGAATGCTGTTCAACCGCATACGAATATTATTCTCAAAGTATGGAATTGAATTGTTACTCAAGACTGCTTCTTTTGTTACTATAGAATGTAATCAAAATTCTACATACCTTAATTTTTAATTTATAGCTTTACTCAACTATTCTATAATACGCAATATACTTTCAGTTATCTGTCTGTGCGCCCTTCTAGAATATTCATATATTTAACTTATAAATGACCGAACGTTTAAATAATTCTATCTCTTCTATATGATGATCAGTAAATAATAAATTATCTTCACATTGGAATTCAGGTTATTTCTTGATATTTCCATAATAATGTATGTAATAATAATGATAATAATTTGTTCTCTAATAACAAACATGTAACAAGAGACATGCCAATTTACAGGCAAGATCATAATGTTAAGATTAGCAACATATTTCTTTTAAAACGATATACAGTTACTGAAACATTTCACGAGATTCATTGGATTCCTATAGATGGAATGTACAATGCGAATAATTGGCGCGAGTTACGAAGGTTGCGTTACGACTATCATCTTATCGACTGCGAAACGATTCATGGTAGAGACAGGTTTGCATATAACAAGGATTGATGCGGTAAATGTACAAAGGTCTGGTTGATATTCACCGGCCGTTTGATTTTAGGTAATAATAATAATAATAATAATTTATTCTCAAATAACTACGTTACAAGAGTCACGCCAGTTTACTGGCTAGATCAAATTGTCACAAATGCTTTCACAATTACTGTAAAGTTATAGCAGTTAAAATAAGTATGAGTCAGTTTTTGATTGCATATTTACACCATGTCACTGACAGAAACAGCATTGTACAGCCTCATTTTCAATAGTAGAGTACAAATAAGGAAGGAAGGTGCACAATAGGTTCTTTTGGCGATTTGCCGAGACCAATAGTGAATTTGTTGGGAAAGGTCATATGGAACGCGCTTGATATGAGCTGTGATCCAGACAGTCATGTACCTAGGGTGCATGTTCCCTGGAGTCACCAAGGATTTCCCACCGTGAATGGGGTTCTGAAAAGGAGAAGAGAGAGAGAAAAAGGCAGCAGTGTGGCAAGTGTATATATATAACCAAAGCACTACTTAACCTGTCATGTTGAAGTAGTCAATACAGTAGTAAGTCAAGATAACATTCATACTGACCACTTAAATTAAAGTAAATTATGGGAATATAGGAAAATAACACACAGATAAAGGAGTACAGCAAAAAGAAGGGAGAGTTGTGCAGTGTCAGGTGGACAGAAGAGAAGTCAAAGTAAGAAGCTGGATTTATGTACGTTGAAATCGAAATTCTAGTTGAAAGAGTAGAGTTTGTAAAAATAAAAATTTCATGAATAAAATCTCGCACTGACTAACTGTTTTTTTTCTTTATTATTGAATGCCAACCTCTAAGTCATACTGTTAGCGCCTGAGTAGGAATTTTGCAGATGTCTCGACAGAATAGCGACCTCAGCATAGTTTTGGAAACATGAACCACAGAAG